ATAGTAAAAACAGAACAAAGCAACCATTTAGGACAAAGTGCTATTTTCATAATTAGGAGAAAACAAGCTAAAATGTAGTTAAAAATGCATCTTTTTATTTTGGCTTTTCTTTTTGATATAATTTCTTATTTGAAATTACAAATGTGTTTTTGATTAGAGCAAGAATCTGAGCAGTAATCAAGTTTGGCCATACTTCTTGGCCTGTGTCATTATTGATCTGACAAAAATGTAAATCCGTGTTTGCAGGTTGGGCCCATAATAAGGTGAAACTCACAACATTGTGTAGTTTCCCTTGGTTTGTGTTTGTCAAAAATATGAAGCAGCAGGAGTTACATTGAGCTGCTTTAACTGCACGTCAGATAAGGTGCCTCTGGATCCGTGTTAGATGTTTGAGTTGAGTTATGAATCTAAACTTCGACGCAGAGTTGAAGGATTTGGGGGAATAATTTAGCATCAGTCAGGAGCAAAATTTTTATCTTCTTTAGATCATCTGAAAATAGCAGCAGACAACAGCAGGAGGAAGACGAGGCGGCGCACGTCAAACTTTCACAACCCTAATGTGCTCTAAGTTCAAATAAAGACGCTTTTGTAAGACGCTAAAATATATAAAAACAAACATTTCATCCTCACGTGAAGTTAAAGGAGACGTGTTATGCAAAATCCACTTTTTTCCCGATGTTACAAAATTGTTCCACACCAGAAAAAAGCCTGTTTTTATATCCATTCGTGCCAAAATCAGGAACTTCAGGCTCAATCATGTAACTCCGCCCCCACTACCTAAGCTCCTGTTTCTTTCCTGTATCACGCTAAGAGTAGATGTCTGTCTTTTAAATAAGTTTATTGCCCATACATTAGTTTGAGCAATATTTCTGGTATAAAACCATGTTCTACACAATCATACATCTGTGTTTGCAGCCGGTAATTTCCAAATTAGGAAAAAAGACAAAGCAAATTCAACTTCTCCCTCTGGTGGATGCATATGGAGTCACCACATTGTTTACCCTTTATACTTTTGTTTTATAATTTTGTTTCACAATCTAAAACATGAAATGACAAAGTTAACAAAAATTTCAATGAAAAACAAAAACAAAATATCTAGAGTACCAAGGTGTTTTGGTTCATAAATATTATTGGTGAGAGCTGACACTAAAGTGATAGAGGCCAAACATACAAACAGGTGAGGATAGTACCAAACTAGCACTAGTTCCTCAAAGATATAGGGTTTTACGGCTTAGTTCATTCTTTATTCATTGTTGTTAAAAGGTTGCCACAGCTTTAAATTGGAGAAAGCTTTAAATGTGACTTTCAAACATCCGTGTATACTTTAAATTGGAGAAAGCTGTACATTTCACTGTCAAACCTATTTTTTAACTTGTCAAAAACGTGCTCTTTATAACACAGTCTCCATCCAGCCTTTCAGACCTGCACCTGCCCCAGATTCTGCTTTATACAACTCACCTCACGACTAAAACAGTGATCCTATTAACGGCTGACAAAGGCCTTCGACAGTCACAATGTACATAGTCTTCTTGTTAAGCTCAGCCCACTCACACGACAAGCTGAAACATCGCACTTTTCACGCTAATTAACCAAACAGCTCACTGTCAGGCCCCATTCAGGGAACTGATTGCTTGCCGGGCCGTACAGCGCTATAGCACAGGTGTGACCGCAGCACCAAGGCCAGTAACGAATGGTTGAAATATGACTGGAGCATGGAGCACAGCAGCGGCTCCGAAACTGTCAGCATGCTGTTGGACCCAAGTCTAAGAATAAATACGGGGGCCGAAATATCAAAATATATCAGGCTGTACCGCCCGATGACATCCCTGCAGCACACTTCTGGTGGAAAAAGAACTCTGCACAGTTTGAAGAATGTCAACAAGGAAAACAAAACTGAGGGCAATTTGTCTGCCAGTTTGATCGCACAATTGTCTCTGTGATTTCTTGTAGATCCAACTTTTTTCCGTGTAGATTGTACTTTAATAGGTGCTCTGAGGAGCTTTTCTGATAAAAGCAAGGCTAAAGTCCATACTGTAGGAGCACCAAATCGCAGGCAGCTAAGCTAAAGCCCGGTGACCCCGTATGTCCATCTATGTCCATCTTTAATAGTTATTTTTGTTAAGAAGACATTTCAATTTATGATCTGAAACGTATTCATACTCCTGATAAATTCATCAGAACAGAGGGAACTTTGACCTAGGATACTAAAGGGACTCCAATTGAATGTACAGAATGTGTGTGTGTGTGTGTGTGTGTGTGTGTGTGTGTGTGTGTGTGTGTGTGTGTGTGTGTGTGTGTGTGTGTGTGTGTGTGTGTGTGTGTGTGTGTGTGTGTGTGTGTGTGTGTGTGTGTGTGTGTGTGTGTGTGTGTGTTTGACTGCGTGCAGAAATGACTGGACATTTGAGCTGAAATGGTAGGTTAGCACTCCTAGGTTTGAATCATGGTCGGAACAGGGTCTATCCGAGTGGAGTTTGCATGTTCTCCCCGTGCCTGCTTAGGTTTCCTCCAGGTTCTCCGAATGTCCCTACCACTAAAAACATGCACAGTAGGTAAATCCTCCAGCTCTGGTTCCACATCTGAACATAAGTCCCGGGCGCTATTACTACGCCGACCACTGCTCCTGATTGACGCCCCCTAGTGGCATCAGGATGGGACAAATGCAGAGGATGAATTGCCCTACGCGGATATTTAAGTGCACCTTAGGGAACTTGGCAGAGTATGATCTCTCCAAGTTCATGTTCTAGTTTAAAATGGCTGCATGATTTGCTTGATCTGTCAAAGCTCCTGTTTAGAGGCAGACATTGGACGTTGAAAAGTGAAAAATGAAAAGTCCCTGTTTGGCATTCCCACAACTCCTCAGACAAGAGGAAGCCTTCCAGATGCACCAGACACTCTTCACTTCAAGGATAAGAAACCAATCCATATTTTACCATCTTTCTCAATATTTCACAATTTTTAGCCGCACACCTTACGCCCATGTCAATTTTTTGGAGAGCCCCTTTCAATAGATCAATTTCACACAAGGTTATTACAGCTGTGTATGCTTTATGGAACACAGCTGCCCCCCTTTAAACTTTAATTTCCCGGCAACATGAGGCGTACTTTTTGATTTGCTCCAGGTTCAAAATGAGTTGATGCATGGTGCTGTCTCGTCATGACAGTCCCAAGATGGCGGAGCGGCTTTAACTGTCACTTAAAGCACTTGTTTTGTGACGGGGCCTCAGCGTTGGAAGACTTCCTGTGGTTGCAGCGCTGACTGTCAATGTGCATTTGTGCGTCAGGAAGTTTAGCCACACGGAAGTTTTTGTTGTTATTTGCAGTCGCGTACTCCCGGCTGACTCGCAGGTTTGTTCAGGAACTCTACGCTGGGTACTATATATGTATTCTGTTCAAGGTAAGGGATAAAAAAAAAAAAAAAAAAAAAAAAATTCCATCACAGTACATTGCATTCTTCATACAGTTTGATACAGAAGCGATATCTGAGGAAAATCATGTTTTTCTAATAGGGCTGCACAATTATTTGCAATCGTACTGCAAAACTAAGTAAAAAAAATTAGGTTGCAATTAGCAATTAGCAAATTGGAAAGACTGTGATTATTTAAGTTCTTTGCAAACAAAAAAATGAAATGAAGATAAGCAAAACAGTAGCTTGAATTTTGAGGATATGTCAACAGAAAGCGCAGGTTGGTTTCATCTTATGAAGCATTATTTTCTCTCAAATGAGACATAGATCATTAATTTGAACAACGTGTGCACAATTCAGGTCAGATTATTAGAACAAAGTGTTGAAATAAAATGTTGGATTTATGTGATGAAGGTACATTTACCACAGCCTTTTCCACATAACTCTTGTCATGTTGGATTTAATTGTTGAAGCCAATTAGGTCGATATTGTTTCATTTGATTGACATAATTCATCTAATGCAACACGACAGAATGATGTGGAAACGATTTCTTAATGTAATCAATTAAATACAACACTTATTCAACTTTTTACCCCAACTTTTCTTTTACTAGAAAAAATCGAAATGTGTGGGAATCAAGCAAGTAAGAAGTAGTAAGTAAAGTTTATTTGTATACTGTGAGTATTTAAGTAAGGTTGATCTATATACTAAGTGAGTATGAGTAAAGTTCATATAGTGCTGACAGAACGCTTCCCATTACAAACATGCAATGTGAAAAAACCCTTTTCAAGTGTGACATTTTTGAAGTTGTCATTTTCACTATGAGCAAAAATAGACTTTTAAAAATACAGGATGAAAAAATATCACAATCTGATCTCATTGTTGGTCAGTATATTGTTATAAATATTTTGTAGAACCCACGGTTGTTCCTACGTCCGTGTAAGAGACAGGTTTCTTCTCAGACATTGTTCAAATCCATCTTTGATTAACTGTAAAAACAACTGAGGGACTGCACCTTCGCTCTTTCTAACGTTCTGTGAATACTTATAATGGCTTATTCTTTCTATCTTGTTTTGTTAAGCGCTTTGGGTTGCCTTGAACTGTGCTATACAAAAAAACTCGCTTGGCCTTGTCTTGCATTAAATTGTAAACAGCGGTAATGATATGTTGGTGAAGGCTGCGGTGGAGTCGCGGAGGCAGCGTATAGTGGATTAGTATTGACATTTTAGAGTTAAAATGTCAGCACATAAACAGTAGATTATTGAGCCTCCGCACCTACAATTTATTTTGCTGAAAGTCACCCAATGTTTATTTTAAATGTCATGACATTGTGATAAAACTAATGAATCGACAATGGAACTTTAACAAAGCATTTTTATTGTTTAGGTCTCACACTGGTCTTACGCACAAGTAAATATTGTTTCTCCAATGCCAACAGCTATTCATATTCTGTGAGAAAAATAAGAATATATTTATTTTGACCCTGCGCCTAGTCAATATAGCTTGAATATTTATCATTTAAAACGAGGGAAAAGCCATGCATTTTTAACAGCACTTTGCTCTGTGCGGATGAATCTGTGTCAAATCAATTTCCAGAGGAGGCAGCCTTGACTTTGACCTTATCCTCGGCTGCTCACATCCATTAATACGACTCAGCGACAGGACAGGCTGATGCTTCCTGTGATTACCCACTGACAAGCACTTTGATAGCACTTTGATAGGGGCCGAGCCAGCGCCACAGATGCCACATGTATGCATCTTTTAAAGCCGCCTGGTGGAACTTTTCTACGGGAGGATGCAGCTGCTTGTCAAACAGTGGGGAGAAACTTGCTCTGAAATCCCTCAGAGACCTTCACTCTTTGTGGGAGGAACAGGTGCTGAGTAAAGCAAAATGTATTCTGGCTCAGCCCAAACATCCTCTGATCGCTGACTTTGTAATGATGCCTTCAGGGCGTCGTGTTTTCGTTTCGTTTTTTTTCCAATTCTTTTGTGCCGTCTGCCATAAAACTGTTGAACTCTGGTGTCTGACTTTTGGGAATTGTGCTGTTCATTTGTTGTTTTTGTCGTTGTTGTGTGAATTGTGAGGCCTGACTCACTGTGTGTTTGTGTAGAGTGTGTGTGTTCTGCTTTAAGATTATGCTGTAAATGAATTGTCTTTTGAGATCAATCAACTTTTCTGAATCTGAATCTGATGTTGTTTCTATGGACTGGTGCTCAATATGGATTCAAACCTTCATGGCTGAAATTGTGTTCTATTTAAGTTGCTTCACAAGTTGAATCCTGAACAAAACACAAGACAACACCTGGGTGCTGTCAAGTTACTGTTGTAGACACAAATTTGAGTCGTCTCAGTGTAGAAAACCAGTGTAAGGTTGAAATAACAGCGTGCAACTGAGGTCACTCGCATAGCACTCGATAGCACTCTCGCCCCTCAGCAAGAAGGTCCTGGGTTCGAATCCTGGTCGGAATGGGGTTTTCTGAGTGGGGTTTGCATGTTCTCCCCGTGCTTGCCTAGGTTTCCTCCGGGTACTCCGGTTTCCCCTACCACTAAAAACATGCACACTAGGTTAAATCTAGTCCTGACCAAGCCGAGCATCAACATCTCGAGATGGGTTCCCGGGCGCTGTTTCTACGGCGACCACTGCTCCTGACGTAAGCCTTAGTGGCATCAGGATGGGTCAAATGCAGAGGATGAATTGCCCTACGGGGATCAATAAAGTACACCTTTACCATTACCTTTAATTCCAGGGAAAATGGACGTTTACACCCAGTCAGGTTTGAGACATTTGTAATGGAAAAAGGAGCAGTTTTATTCCTTTAAAAAGTTCTCACCACGTTATTATAATAGATCCATGGTTCTCACAGCCAGAAACAAACAGACACACGCTGCTGATCACTTTACCTCTTGAGCGGAAGTAATGAAATAAAGTAGACGCTGTAAAAATACAAGATCACAGCAATAGCATTCTCAATGAAACCAACAGGTGACAGGACCACAACAGATAGTTACATACAGCTGCTTTATGATCCAATAGAACAGCTTTTCTTGTACCATTTTACATTTGATAGAGAATACATAGAAACACCTTGATGCTTGGATTGTAGCAGTAGTGGTATATGTTATTAGTGTTTTCCCCCTCACAAACAATATTTAGACACGCTTTTATAACCAAGAAATCTTCGGAATTTTTCCCAGAGTCAAGTGCCTGGACATTTAAACACACATGTTATAACGTTTTCATGTATTCATAGATAATACCTGTGGTTTGCTCTTTTGATATTGAACACACATTTTGCATAATCATTTCTCGTCTGCTTCAAGGTCATCACAGATTCTTTCCATTTCACACGCTCATACACACACACACACACTGCTTGTTTTACCTAAAGGTGGTAGCAGCTGCAGTTCTGAGTCCGTCTCCCTTTCTGCCTCCAGAATGTTGTATCTGTCAGCTTTCACTCACACAAACCCAAGACTTACAATAACAAACAAACAAAGCCATAACGCCAAAAAGAATTGCAACTCACATATTTCTCCTCTCTTTTCTGTTTTGGAGAGTCTCGTGGAGAATAATTCAAAATGACAGATGTCAGAAATGCGCGGCCCTGAAAACAATCTCCCTGTCTTCAGTTTGTCCCAGAATTATGGAGCGTTTGCATGAGATATAATCCGGGCACACAAATACTAAAACTGAATTATGAACACACGTCCTCAAGGCCGAACCTTCAACAACTCATTTGAATACATCGCATGGACCGACTTTTGGATTACTGCAGACAAGTGCGCTGTTAAGACCCCAAACCCAAGGACTAAATAATAGAACATAGAAAACAGAACAAAAATCTCCCATAAAAAATAATATTGTTCATCCCTATGTTTTAGAATAATAATACAATAGTGTTAACAACAATTCAAAAGGGGCTATAAGTCTTTTTGGGATAAAGTCAATAGATTATATAATGCGTTTTTTTTTGTTTTAATTATTATTATTTACTGTGGTTATTTATTATTTTAATCCCCTGTGTGATTCTAATGCTTTCAATTACCTGTGTAATTTTAATTTGATTGTGTTTTTAATTATGTTTTAAATTGTGTTTTGAACTGCAGTTTTTAATTATGTTTTTAAATTTGTTTTAAATTATATTTTAAACTTTATTTTAACTGTATTTTAATTGTGTTTAAATTGTGTTTAAACTGTGTTTTTAATTGTGTTTTTACTGTGTTTTTTTATGGTGATTTTGATGTTTGTTTGATGTGATGATTTGTGCCTTGTGTGATGTGGACTGTGAAGCGCTTTGTGTTGCCCTGTGTAGGAAAGGCACTCTACTGATTGATTGATTGATTGATTTAGCCAAACTAGAAAATAGTCCAATAGTCAAATATGATGTGTATAACAGGCGTACTGAACAATAGAATAGATCATAATCAGCCAAAGGTCTAAAGATCAGGATATTTTTTTATATTATTTTATTTTTATATTTTTTCATACTTCCTGGTTCTAGTCAGGACTTTTTTTTTTCAATCAAAGTGTGCAACAGAAAGACAAGTAAATTTCTCAACACCGTAGACACGAAATGCACATTAACACATTACTAAATAATATACTTTTGGGCTATTGTTTTTTTTTTTGTGGGTTTTTTTTGTTTTGTTTTTTCTCAATGCATCTCTTTTGTATCATTGATTTTGTATCTTCTAGATGCCCAAATAAACACACTTAAACTTAAAAACTTAAACTCACTAATATTGATCAAATTAAATAAAATACATACATTACATACAGGGGTCTGCTAATCAACTGATATATTAAATGTTTTTTTGTTTTTTTTATCTATGTGAAGATCAGGATATAAATGTGTTGTCCAGCTACAAGCCCTGTATCAAACCAGCACCTACTACAGTATACCAGCTCTGTAAACAGCTCTCACTCACTGGTCCAGAGTCTGTCTCCTCCCGACATATTTTCAGCTCTTTTAAACTCCACAAACTCAGTCGCTCTTTCGCTTCATCCCGGTTCTCTAGATTTAAAACCCCTCGACACCTGAATCTGAATCTGATGCTAAATTCGGAGGAGATGGTTAATTTATTGGTGCATTACATGTATACACAGATAGTTTCAGGTACAGTATTTGATCCAACTTAGCAACCTAAATCGGCATGTATTGAAATGAAAACAGAAATGTATATGTGCAGCAAGATACACAAATCAATGTGTTCAGATGAGAACAACAGAACAATGAACTGAACTCAAGATACAGTAATAAATGAGATTCTTAAAAACCAAAAGACACAAAATCAGTCTTTACTTCGGACTCCTGTTGAGACCTCGCTTTAGACACAGGCTTACACATGACAGATGTATAAGTCAGAACAATAATCGGTTTATCAAAGTAAATGGTCTAAATACTATTGTCACCGTGAATACCAGTCAGAGTAATTCAGTCACAGTAATTCATCATAGCCAGTGGCAAATTTGCAACATTAAGCTTCCCTCCAGAGGACTTAGCAAAACTGTTGAAATCGCCAACACAGATCAGAGAATCAACAGTTAAGACACAAAACATATACAACATATGAATTGGTCCATAGAGCGAGACCAATGTCCATGAATGTTGATAAATGTCATTGTCGTAGAATGTTTATACTAATAAGCTATACTAATTAAAATCGAATAAAAAAATATCTCTAACTCTTGCATCAAATAACAAGTATAACATCTCAAAAAACTACATGTTGCATTTAGGACGTGTGGGTTCCTAAAACATGCATCCTACTTGTATTTTCAAGCAAAGTATACAAAAGGTAAAGGTGCACTTTCTTTATCCCCCATTCTCTGCATTTGACCCATCCTAATGCCACTAAGGCTTACGTCAGGAGAAGTGGTTGCCGTAGTAACAGCCCCCAGGGACCCATCTCCAGGAGTTAATGCTCGGCTCGGTCCGGACCACAGCTGGAGGATTTGACCTATTGTGCATGTCTTTAGTATACTGACCAACACCTCAACTCCCAATGATTTCTCTTAACACTGGATAAAAGATGCAGCAGCTTTCACAACAGTTCGGTCTGAAATCACAAATTCACAACTGAAATAAACAAAAAACAGTGCAAATAATTGGTCTTTGCATCTGAATAGTCGACAGCATTTGTTTGGTTTTATGTGCATGCGTTGCTTTCTGCTTAAGTAAACCAACATGAATAAGAACAAAGGCAAAAATACCACTATTCAAACAAACAGCCATAGTCTGTAGTGAACTTTCTTATTTATCGTCGTTGCTATGGAAAAGACAAGTCAGACCTTATGCGTCACGCCTCAACCACAGCAGCTCTGTCACTGACACAAGCCCACAAGACAAAAATATACATTCTAACCAGCTCAAACTTTGCAAGAAAATAGAAAGTTTCACTCTTCACCCGTCAGATTAAAAAGCCTGGGTAGCAGCCGCATATATAGGAGCAGCCGCAGCAGACATCAAACTTAACTGATCAACACGACAAGTCAATACATCAGTGTGTGCATTGGGATGAAGAAATCAATGTCCCCGGTTTCCTATAGCCGCTCCATCACTGCCATTGGGACTCATACAGCCAAGGAGACCCATCAAGTGAACCTGGCCTGCGGGGACAGTGCACAAGCCATATTGATGTTTT